TCCCAGTCGGTGTATAATGTCAATATCATTTCCACTTAGACAGACGTTCAGTTTGGAGTTAATAAGTCTCACCACACTGTCCTTGCAATCTTCAACTGTCTCATTCTCTGAAGTATCTGCTAAACCAAAGATTCTGATCGAATTCTTCCGCACATGTTGCTCGAGATCGTCAAACTTTTCACACAGTGCTTTCTCGGACTCTTGGAGATTTGAACACTGAGCTTTGAGAGCTCCGACCGTTTGTCGCAGTCCATCGTTTTCCTTTTCCAAATCAAAGATTCGTCCTTCTAATTTTTCCAACAACTCACGATTCCCCTTTCTGATGTCGTTTTTCAACTTTATAAGTCTTTCATCCATTCTGTCCGTAATCCCAGCAATTGTCTTGTCCAAGTTTCCCAGCATCTCGTATATCTCATCCAATCTCTCTTCGTTCGTCTTGGCTGTAGAACATCTGACCGTCTTTCCCATCATGAATATATATATAAGTCCAATAGTATAAGATGAAAGTTTACCCACACGAGCTACACAATAGCTACGTATACAGGTACATGTATACTGGACGCCTCGAAAGCAGTTGTCACGCGATCAATCCTAATCCATTGTTCGTTTTTCAAGTCCAAAAAGTCACCTTCCGAGAAACTGATAGAAAATCTTTTCCAAACAATCTGATATCAGAACATGTTTACATCACATTATCCAAAAATTACGTTTTTCAAATCCCTAGAAAATATGTAAAACACTGATGATGGTGAGAGCGATTTTTTCCATGTCCATACAGGTTCGCGTGACCTTGACCTTCCTCAACGTTATTTCTAAATATAGACAGGTTTTGTAAATTGCTGTAAGCATTATTGATTAAATAAACATGAACTCCAGAGAATACTGACATAAGGCGCACCCTATATATTGCTACAACACAAAAATCCAATTTAACCTATATTCTACATCAAGCACAGTTTCTCGTCATCTTAACACAGATCATATTTCATCCCCTGTAATTTATTTTTCTATTCTTGAACGAAACGACGAAAATTCCTCTCTTATTAGTCCAGCAACACCAGCAAATTCAAAAACAAAAACATCCGAAAATTCTAGAATAACTCATAGTTCTCTGTGTTAAAAAATAAAAAAGTTCAAACTTTTACTATTTCTATACAAATGTGTGTAACTGCCTCAAAATGTTCTGAACAATTAGCAGTTTTTTCATTTGTTTTCTGTTTGAGACAGTCATCCTACACCAACTAAATGTATCCTGCAACTGGCAGTGCTTTTGTCGGAATACGCCATATTTTAGTTGTATTCGGCCGTGACAGAAAACAGCTGTATTTTAGCACGTGCGGTAATTCGACAGAAATACGCTCCGAATTTAGTTAAGTATTACTTTTTGAAATATAAATAGTTGTTGAAATAAGCGATTTTTTTACGTGTTGTAATGAAGAATTTCATTCATGAAAATTCATAAAATCGCTGTTATCCGCGTGGTGCAAATATTTTGGCGTCCGTCATCGGCAAAATATCAGGTTGAACAACAAAAAACGTTTAAGCAGTTCAATAATGTGAATTTCAATCAATGTTTCAGGATAAATAGAATACATTGTCAGTGTCTTAAAACTTAAGCTGTATTTTGACTCGGGACAGAAAGACAAAAGCGACGAGCCTCTGGCGGGCCACTTTTGTCTTTTTTCAGCCTCGCCAAAATGCAGCTTATATTTTAAGACACTGACAATGTATTCTCTATATACAAAACATGTATAATGCGACCAGCTTAAACAAGTGAAAGTGCGGGATGAACCACGAATAAGCTAAGCAATGTGTTTTTGGGAAAGCATGATTCATTTAAAAAAAAATAAAAAGATATCTATCTATAAATTGTTGCCTCTGTGTTGGAACTAATATTAGTGAGGTGTTATTGTAAAAGTGATTTGTGGCCACGAGTGACGATTGGACTGGTAGAATATTAGCCGACGTGAACACGAGTGTTTTCCTCGCTAGATAATTGTATTAATTCGGCGCTTTTTTTTTTTTTAAAGAATTCGAATATTCATTTTTGTTTCACGACATTCACATTATGTGCCAATGCACCGCAACCTTGATCAAGTAAAATCACAAGGAACCAGTGATATTTGCATTGTTGTCTACAAAGAAACAACAAATGTGCAAATGTCGGAGAAGGCTGAAAGCAGTTTCCTCGAACTCAACAGCATTTTCCTTGTGCTGATTAAACATAAGATACAACAACTGTGACAGGTTCACAATTCCATCTCGTGTGTAACAAAGTGGACATCTGATTAAACGTTGTAAAGCGATAGTGGGTTCTCTTCGGAAAATATTTACTTGCAGGATCTTTGGACACAATCCTGTCTCCCCTCCCGATAGATCAAATTTAAAAGATATTTTGCTCGGATGAAACAGTTGGATTTGTCTTGGCCTGTTTAAAGAACTTACAACTTACACGAATATTACAATACAGATCCAACACATAGATCAATCTTTTAAGTCATTTGTAATCTTTTTCCATTCACATTTTTTAAAATTTATGTTGACACATATGTATGTTCTCATCGTTGGCTGTTTTCGAACACGAGGTCGTAATAACTTAGTCGGTTAGAACGCTGACCTACATAATCTCAGGTGAGGAAGGCATGCAGCTCAACACTCCTTTCATCTAGATAATGAAAAAGATTTGATAGAAAATGACTTTATATCTAAATTACCTAGTTATGAACCAGACAATGTCGTACCTCTCTCTTTATCTTCGTCTCCTATCGATGTTGTGGATATGTCCACTACTTCACGCTAGTTTTCGAAGCTTTAAAGTTTTTATTAGGCTTGTTGTCTCCCCTTTATCAACATATTAGGCCAGCACATGCATAACATTAGTTTTCCACATACGAGAGAAAAGTATTCCGTAATCTTTTAAATGACCTCTTTCCACGTTGAACAGGCATGTTTGTTTAGGATGTTGCTTAGCAACAATGCAATGTACAATTTATGACTCTTGCACCTTGTCATCTTACAACGTTGTCAATTTCTAAACCCACTGTAATGTTTTGTATGTTCTTATTATTTCCTGCTTGTAAACAAGTACTCCACTTATTCCAGTTAAAGATATTTATAAACATATGCACGCTTGGAATCAGAGCAGAACTTTCTAAAGCTTTACTTTGGTATCCTTAAGAAATTATTTGGAGGATGGCGAACATAAAGTAACTATGATAATCATTTTCACTGTTATGCATATGGACCTGTCGCTGATCCTTTCTTTCTTTCGTTATAAATATAAACATGTATTTTTACATTTACATACCACGAAAACCTTTATCTCCCATGTCGGTATTTTTGTTATTTATTTATTCATTTAGTTTTTGTTCATTTTTTGTTTCAGTGAGATGCTTCAGTCGGATGTTATTTTGGCAGGTCCTTTTTCACTCTGTGGTTGATGAAACAAATATTTGAATATAATGAATTATCATGTTAAAGTATTTGTCCTACCGAAGGACACACCTGTTGAAATATAGATTAAAATTAGTCGGGATCAGTTCACGAATTCAGGTGAAATAAAGTAAAATTTCATTACGCGTATAACTTCATATATTATGTTGACTGCATCTGACACCAAGAATGTTCAGCTTAATATGAAAAACTATAGCTTTACAATAGTTTAAGTTTGAGTATAAAGAACTTAATTGTAGACTTTTTTGTCACAAAAAAATTACAAAATTAACTGAAGAAAAAGTAATTAATTCCAAATATATTGACGAAATATGTTACTTCTGCCAACTATGCAAACTCTCCTTTAGAATTTCTTGTTTTCCTCATCATTAGCAGGCTTGATTACTAATCAATCTATTTTGCATTCAAACAACATTGTTGATATTGTTATTGATTTTATGCTATATCTTTGATACAATCTGCCGTGTCGTTTTATAAAATAATATGATCGATGCTATTACCTCAAAGTTGTGTAAATGAATTCCGTACTTTTGGGCCCTAGAACTATGAGGAGTCATTGTCTAAATATGGTTTTATTTGGCTTAAGGTGTATTTGTTAGCGAATTGAACTGTGATATATACACGATTGTGTTTATATTTTCAATGACGTAACATCTGGTTATAAAATTTTATGTTTTATGTCTCGTTTGGTTTGCCGTTTAATCATTACGTAACACAGGGTTTCCGTAAGGATCGCTACTGTTTAAATATTAATGACCTGCTTACTCGCGGAACACCACAGGACACAAACCAATTTTTCTAAGTGTTCAAATGAATGAAGTGTTAATTCGGAGAAATAGAGGATAATTTGGATCAATTGCCATATAACATAAAGATATTCCAAAATGCTATACATTGAAAAATTCTTGATTTTCTGATGCATTGGTATTCTTCTATTGGTACTGTTTTGTGATAAGGGCCGTGACAGCAAGTCTGGCCCGTGTAACATTAAGGTGAAGATCCGGGATGAACGTTTCGACCTAATCTATCTATGGTAGTTTGTGTTGCTTAGGAAGCTAAGAAACAGACCGCTCTGTGTTGTTGGGTTAGTTTCATTGGCAAGACACTTATTTTATATACTATGTGATTGGCCTACTTTATGTTGTTGCGTTATGTATCCAACATGTACTACATGGCGACTCCGCCATACCATGATCATAGCTGTCCCATTGTCAATTAACCTGGCACAACCAGATAATTAAAGATGTCAGCTGAAGCTGATAGTCATCTCATAATAGCTACATAATATTTCTATGACATTTTGGATCAAGAACCAATATTACATAATAATGCTGGTTTGTTTTACATGACAATGCAACATTCAATATGCGATATAAGTAAGACATTACAAAACCTGGTAACATAACATTTTATAATAAAATTACAATTCTTTTGTTACTTTGCATGAAGCCTATCCGTTACCTAGTATGAGTAGAAATTGTGACATCCTTCAACAGACTTTGACCCAATTACTTGTGCGACATACTATTAGGGCGTAGATAGAGAAAATGGCAGTGCAGATTCTAAAGAACGCTTGGAGACTAAGGCAACTCCTTATCGTTGTTCTAGCACCGATTCTTCTTCTTCCTATTGTATTCGCTGCTGAAGGAAAGGTGAGTAATGACATATGTCTCTTATGGTTATTTCAAAAACATTTATTTTATCGGCTGTAAGTTAATTTTTATTCATTTTATGGTAAAATGATACACGTCTTTATTAACGTTTGCATGTAAATGTCATCACATGTACATCAGTAACCAGGGAAAGTTATAATTCCATGTACTTTAAATGAGAACAACGATAATTATAGTGTCAGTATTCTGGACATGGAAAAATGAATGCTCATGGGTGAAATGTATGTTTCATTTGACGGATAAACTGCGGTTAATATTATATTAATTATTATCGGCTTAAGACAACATCATTTGCAGGGAATACATATCTTGTAGGCAAACCTGCCATAGTTCATATTGAGCTAGCATTGATAGATTTGCGATTTATATTGACAATAAATGTCATAGCAAGATAGTTCGATGTTCGATTCCTCAGACCAATGTAAGACTAGTTATATACTATCTCGGCAGTGAATGTTATGCTTCAATAAAGGTTGCACATGAGCACTATTTGATCTATTCGATATGATGTCTTTTAATTTTACAAGAACATAGATTCGAGATTAAACGTGAACTATTTATATCTGACATGAATGAGGCGGCCACTGTTGAATGGTATCTATAATATCAAGCATGTTTTCACATTGCGTGTGCGTCTCACGTGATTAATAAAATACTTTTTAAGAAACAGGAATGACAAAAAAAAAAAAAGATATATATATAATAATAAAATAACTTTCAATTTTCAATGTCAATATTTTATGACGTCATGTCAGAACGTGCTCAAAATATTTGGAATAATTCTGAAGTGCTCTAAATATAAACGGTAGAACCTATTTCCTTATAAATGCGAATTCGAAGTGTCACTACACAAGGCATGTCATGCACAATTGTGGACACCGGTATATTGCCATAGACAGACCACTATTATGCAGGAAATAATGAAAGAAAACATTATTTAAGACACCACCAATTTGAGTAGCTTTCTCTTCATAAGAAACTGTATTTTTAACACCATTTAAAGTCAATCGCACTAGTAAGATCTCTAATTCTAGACAACGACTGTTGATTGAGCAATGTGTATCTCTGTCTTTTTAGTATTATGAGTGCATCTAGGATACTTGTTATTTTCTTGCAAAGATATATTTATCACGTGCCACATGGACGAAAACATTGTTTAATTTTTATATTTCATACATCCAACAACAAATTATATGGTTGACATTATTCATGTGTCTGTGTTGTCCCTGTCATTGATTTAATATATGCTGTAATTTATTACAGGAATCAAAATGTGGCTACATTATATTGTTGGTGGCCATATTTTGGATCACGGAGGCTTTACCAATTGCAGTTACAGCCCTTCTGCCAGTGATTTTGTTTCCTATGGTTGGAATAATGAACGCAAAAGACATATCAACAGCTTATGTTAACGTAGGTACAAACGCTATACAGCGAGGCGATATCGTTATGTTGGCGTATGATTACTACCTGGAGCCCATAAGTGTGATGATTTTTTTCTATTGATCCCAACCAGATATAACTATAATATTTAATTTTATTTTGCGATTGCGAAACAAGCTTAACGCCTTTATTAATCATTCTTTTTGGCCGAGATTAAACCGCGCGAGAGGTCTTATTGTGGGAAGTAACCGGAGTATCAAGGAAAAAATCCACGTAGTCAAGTAGATGACCCTATACCATTCACGCCCGTGCCGGAATCGACCTCTGGGCGCTTAGGTGAAAGGCGAGTGTGTTACCACTGCGCCAACCGATTACCCAAACCAGATGAATTACACGTCTGATGCCCACAAATTTTAAGACATATATCTTTAACTGTCACAGATACAGCCGTAAAGCCCATATCATGACCTGAAAACAAGAAAAAGTTATAAAACGTTGTCTTGAATATCTCAATGCGTTAATATGTTAAAAGCTTTTAATTTGCACGTATGCTCGTCCTGTGTGTTCTGTCATTAGGACACATCGATGCTCTTCGTTGGCGGACTCATTCTCGCATATGCGATAGAACAATGGAACATCCACAAGTTATTTGCCTTGCGAGTTCTGCTTTGGTTTGGATCAGAACCTCATTGGTAAGCTCTTTCCACTAATGCCACATTATTTAGAAACTCTGAATAGTTCATTTGGGAATAAACTATGATAAATATTCAACTCAGTATGATAGATAAATTTGACAATAAAATGTAGCATAATCATGTCTATTGCCAAATTATTCAAAATAGGCATATCTTAATTCTCGCTGTAACCGACATAATTTCAAGGTAGTCTTATTTTCAAGAAACTTTCCTCATTAAAGAGTCTAGGGCTTATCAAGATAGCTTAATTTTAAGATCGGTTTATGGGTAAGATTCTTTGACTGAATGTTGACAATTTTGTTAATGTGCTGATAAATCAACATAATTCTTAATTTCTTAGAAAACATGGCTTCTATTACTTTGCATCTCTAATATTATGCATCATAATTCATCACTGATGAAATTTCAAAGGAAATTTATTTTTGATAGAGTTTAGTAAGTATTTCCGTTTCTTCAGATCTATAGCATTATACAAGAAGCAACCCTCTGGGCCTTCTCTATAACCATACGTTTTGACAAATGTCGTCCATCAGATTATAAGGATTGTCCAAAAAGACACACAAGTAAATAGCATATATCTAATATTTAGATAAACTGCGCCATACACTTTAATTGAAAGTTTTAAAACACATAAGTCATTCTTTGTTCCTCTAAGCGAGTATGCATATTAACCTTATGACGAGACAAACATTTAATATGTAGATATAGAGGTGTATTTACCCAGTTTTGTAAATGTTCATTATATGATAATTTATACAGGAAGTGCTGTAAAAAATCGAACACAGGTCTTCTAAAATCCTTAGAAATGAACTTGTCATTTTTGCTTTTCTCCCGAGGACAACAAGAACAGTACGCATCACGATGGCAAGTTTGTAATATGTCGTGTTTAATTAAGAGTTCGGAGAAATACTGTATTTACTTACTTTGAAGTTTATTAGTATAGGCTTATGCTTGGGATGATGCTACCTACCTGGTTTCTCTCTATGTGGATGAGTAACACTGCCACCTCCGTCATGATGCTACCAATTGCTAATGCTGTTCTACAGCAACTGAAAACTATCCGTATTGCTGAAGAGGACATAGGGATAGGTAATATCCACATAAGATATTCATAACTGTTTTGGGGTCAGGGAATGCGTCGTTTGTATGTAAACGACTACCGTCTTAATAAGGACCATTTTTCACATTAATCGTGATTTCATTAACTAAATCTTCATCAACATTGGAAAAATTCACTACTGTCATCTTAATGTATAGCATTGCAGTAAGAAATAAATAACCAAATACAATGTTGACTATAAACTTGAGCATATATATGCGCGATTTAGTCTACGTGTTGTACCTATAGTTTTATGATATTAATTAAATATAAGCTTCCTTCTAAAGCCCCAGACGTAATGTTGTAAAACCAGCACTGATATTTTGATATACTTTACAGAAGATGCTAGCCCAACGTTTCATCAAAATACACAACATAAGGCTGGAGAATTGTATGACAATGATATTTTTGAGACAGAAAATGGAAGGCAAGTGCTTTTATTTTCGTATAAGTTAATCATCAATTAGAATCCTAGTTACCTTTAGGAATACTACCTTATAAACAACAATTAGAATTTCAACGGGAATGCATGTCATAGAAATTGGCCATTAATCACTGTTAGGTTAGGAAAGTAGTTATCTTCAATCTTGATATAGCAATGTTTTCAACGAATGCCACTTATGAAAGACCTCTGAATATTCACGAGGTTTCTTTAACGTCCTACTTTTTCTATTATTATTTGATAGCCATCGAATTATAATTCAGTTATAATACATTTCGTGTCATGATTTTCACTTGATAATGTATCTGTCTGCTATCATTCGTAGATTTTCCTGGCAAACATTTGCAAATTTAGAACGCAGTATCTGAACATAGCTAAATATATATTAATTTATTTTTCTGCTGTATCTGACCTATTAACAAATTATATATCACTAGATGACATTCTAATGAAAGGTTGCTCTATAAAACCAACGATATGATTGCATGTTGCCATTTAAAATTTTCTAATAATATCAATTCAAGATAATTAGATTCTAAGTTGAAAAGGCATTTGTTGCTTCAGTTACTTCTTAATCTTTACTGTTTTAAGATATTTCATTAATCCAGCGTGTAAATATTTAAAGTGAATCCAACCAGGAAAGACAGGCTGATAAAACGCACCTTAATTTATGCAAGGCTCTGTCGATGTCAATATGTTATGCGGCAAATATAGGTGGGATAGCATCGCTAACCGGAACTGGAGTAAATGTTATTATGAAAGGACAAACCGATATGTAAGTTGGTCATGGTTACAGTTCTTTTGAACTCTTTAAATATATTATTAATATACATGTTGTTTCGTTAGTTAGGGAACATTAGCTAATGGCTTTTAGCATTCTTGTGTTGTCGGTCAATTTCTAATTCGTATGAATTATTATATTCTCCACCACATAGGTAAGGGTCGTATATTGTAACTTACAATGTCAGTGCGTCCGTTACCGACACCTCATAAACAAAAAGACAAATATTGTTCATATTTCCTCATAATTACACCTACACACGACCTTGTTGATCGTTGTAAAATATTAACTGTCTGAGGTCACGCTTGACTTTTGAAATAAAACGTTATCTGTACATAAGACAAATCATGAGCTCTTTGATAGATTAAATGCTCAATATATTTAGATCGGAAGAAGAGCGATAAGTGGGCCGGGTTAACATAATCTTTATCAATTGCTGAATTCAATCTTATATGATAAATATATCATATAGGCATCAGCGTAGTGTTTAATAAGTACATCTTGTTAAATAATTTGAAATGTCATTATTCTGCGGATTTCCTATCGATGATGTCTCTTAACTGCCATTGTTTACCCACGACTAGTATACACCGAAGAGAAAAATAGAAATTAACATGACCTGTGTTAATATTATTTATCGTTCAGAATTTACCAGAAGTATAAAGTGGAAAATCCGGTTACATTTGCTACATGGATGCAATATGGAGTTCCGATTGCCGTTATTTTGTTATTAATGTCTTGGATTTGGCTGGTCATATATTTTCTTGGATTGAGGTAAATGTTGATTTTCAAGTACATATCAAATTTAATCAATATTCACATATACATGGCATTCATATCTATAAACGTCCCACGCCAATTATTTATTTTCTTATGCTTGATAAACCATTTGACAATATATTGTGTCGGCTTTGTGGCGGACATTAACTACTTTTAAACAGAAAGATCTAAAGCCGTATGATTCAACAACAAGGAATAACATCTTAATATCACTACAAAGCTAAACGTATCGTTCCTGTAAACACCAACTCTGAACAGTAGCATGGAAGGTTTTTATGTAGTATATCTTCGAAGTTTGTAATAGCCTGTTTCAGCTATGAATGATATTTTAGTATCAAAATATACAATACTGCTATCATAATAAATCAATATTTACAATATATGACAAGTAAAAATGCCTTTAATTAAGTAGCATTGATGCTAATGTCAACAATAAGTCAAGTTATGCATAAAACAGTAAAAAATATATAACACTAACGATAATTACTAAACGTAAGCAATAAACCACTAAATACAGCTGTAGTTTCTATCACTCACGTCTGACACAAAAACGTGGTTAGAAGTCCATTTGTTGTGTTTCCATGTTGGTTGGTCTTCTACCCATTGTTCTGTGACGTTGTATGTGAGAGGAAGAATGGAGTGTGGTATGTTAGCATCTCTAGCATAGTCAAGTCAAAGGTTTCAAACCAGACGTCTTCTGAGCGGTCAACGAAGGCTGTAGTGGGTGTGAACTAAATCATGTTTTTTGCCTTGTGCTCCTCTTGTAGAGTGAAGAAACAGTTGTAGATATGTAGGGTGATGATGCCTTCAATGTATATGTTAATGCTGTAAATCTGGCGAAAACGTACTTGTAGGATAGGTGTAGAAATTTCCGTCCGCAGAATATACGTGCGGAGCTGCAAGTTCGGCTAGATCGTTGCTGTAGTGAATGTGATCATTCTGTTGCCATGTTCACGGTCGTCGAAGAGGTAAATTGTTCGCAAATAGAGGTTTCTTTCAAATTTCTTCCCGATGTGTGGTCTGTCAAGGTATTTCGTAGTGCAAGAATCTGTTTGCATTGTGCACGCAAGGAGATAATTTGGCAATGTAAAGTGATTGCAATCGCTGGACCTCGAATATGAAGAGTCATCCCAGTCGTTGTACCGGAGTTGGTTGTGTTCCTAGTCAAAGATGGAAGATATGGGTGTGATAGATTATACGCAGAGGTTGGCAGTTTGGTTCATTATCTGCTTAGGAACAGCACTGACTGAGCCTGAGGCGTGGTTGTGAGGATATCTCCCGAAGTTTGCTGGTATGTTGTTTACTGTCTAGAAGGATGGTAAACAACCTGATGGTGAACATCGCATAGATGGTTAAATACTTTTAACATTACTCTGAAAACAAGTAAACTTTGTAACTAATATATGATATTAATTATAAGAAAATCCATCAATCTGAAATTAAAACTTCAACTAATATATCGTGATAGTCATATAGTTAGATTTGATGAGTCGAACTATTTAAAAAAGAACAAGTTCATTATAGCAATGCCAAATATGAATACAAAATACTTATTCACTTGGTTACGCCGTTGGTGTTTCATTGTACAAAGCGAGGTGCTGCTATTTTATTCATTGCCAATATCAGGGCTTTGGATTAGATATCTAACGATAGATCTGTTTGATTATGAAATGTGTTATAAATATAAATTACTATTTACAATCGGAGTTGGTGTCCAAGAAATACGATCGCGTCAAGAACTACAAGAGATTGGTGTGATCTTAAACGTACGGTCATTCTCAATGCGTTACCAACTTACAAACTGTCGGTTAAAATATCTTAAAAGAAATAAAAATAAAAAAGTGAATTTCCAAATTATATACTTAAGGGAAAGAATGTCAAGAAAACTTATATTAGACTAACTTGTTGCTGAATAATATAAAATATTTTTTCTTTCTTTTTCTTTTTTTCTTTTTTTTTTTTTCTTTTTTTTCATAAAGAGTATTCAAAACTGAATATTCACTTAAAGAATGTAGCGCAATTTTCAGTAAAAAAAAAATCAAAATAATACTTTCGCATTTGATCTACTGGCAGATCTTTGTGCAAAAAACAGTCGAAAGAAATATCCATTGGAATAAGGAATGTTCTCCTACGAGAATATCAAGACCTGGGCTCAATAACGTAAGTATCAAGCACAAAGACACGGCACAGCGTATCATGTTAGTATACTTTAAATGCTATACGAATTTTTGTGTATCTAAGGGGACAGGTCTTTGAGTGTTATATGTTGACTTTTGTTCAATAAAGTTTGTAGCAGTACAGTGTTTAATGTTAAGCGTGTTGTAACATCCTCAGTCTTTAAGTGACATTACTTCTTGTGTCGATCCGTACACACTATAGCTACCCTAGATATTTGTCATTGGAAGCTTAGTCTGGTGTTTCATCGTTCAAGCTTACGAAAAAGTTCTTTAATGACTTTGATAACAAATCACCATCGTATATCATAGCATGCTAGGAAGCCACTTTTCTACATGGACTTCGAAACTCAGCAGATTTCACAATGTAGGCTAATGTATATCATAACACTGCCATTATTATGTAAGGCCAAATCACCTAGGAGAGAGTGTCGGATGACATAAAGGTAAATTGGATAACAGTCGACAAGGTCATTAACTGTCACATTACTTCACATGCACATTTGTACACAGCATAAGCATTACGAATATTGCCAGCGACAAAAAAATGTCAGATTTAGAATCTGATAGTGAATGGAAAAATCAAGAAATTTAATAGGGAAAATATTTGAGAAAAGGCAAAATGTGTTAGCAAGTGAAAAGATGTCGAATTTGCAAGGTTACACGGTAAGAGGATTTTTAGGTTGGGTGTCATATCGTTGGAGCCTGAAGTTGATTCCTAGTTCCACGTTCCGTTAACAAGATAATTGAGAACCAGACTCCAGTTCAATATTTAAGAAACACGGAATCGGGAACTAGCCCCCGATCCCGTTTGATTGAAATACTGAACTTTGAATCATATCCTATATCCGTATGATATCCAGTACAGGAATTGAACCCACAGCCTTTCAGACAAAAAATTCGACAATCTTAGCCTCTATAGATGAATGGCGCGATCTGACATCCAAATATCGAGTACGTATTACTTTAAACAGAAATGGAAACGAAACCTTAGTTCCGTTACAGATAAACATATAATGTTTTTTAAAGACATATACGTATATATGGATACAGTGCGAGAATCGAACTCACAACCACTCAAACATAGCCATTAAAATGAACTTTGTGTTATTGGAACTAACATTCATTCTCTTGTTGTCATTTACCTGAACCAGCACTGGAAAGCGGACTCTTGTTCGGTTTAGATTAACGTGTGTATTTTTTCGTGTTTCTCTTCTTCTGTCTCAGGAAAACGAAAAATCCAAACAGTATGTTTTTTGCTGGATCTGGTACAGGTGATGTATTGGTAAAAAGCTGAAACACTTTATTCAAATACATAAAATGTTGAGTACATTGGAGACAGCAAAATGACCATACTTTTATAATCGTAGTAAAAAATGACAAAAATGGGTGTCATATTTAAACGCCGTTTTTTTTTTTTTTTAATTTTTTTAATTTTTGAAATATATGAGAGAATCATTATCTCTATAGCCTAACATTTCAGAATATCTCAGTATTTAATACAATTCCTTACTTTCCATATCTGCCTCGTAAAATCCTAATTTGAATGTACAAAATATCAAAAACAAAATAGAGACCTTAAAACCCTATCTATGAACATTCCGAAGATACAACATGAGTTTATCATACGTCTCGGCTCTATACATTTCCTGATCATAAGCTCACATGTTTAATACTTCGGAGTTAAGCTGAAGTGCGAGTTTAATTTATGTTTACTATTTCGCTATAAGGAACTATCGGATGGGTACATAACTGATTTTAAGATGCAACAGTGAAAGAAAAACAAACTATAAGTGACATTTTGCTTATCATTATTTAAACACCATTGTGAGAAAACATTGTGCTGCCTATAACATGAATGAAATTAGAATTCTCTTCATCATTCAAGTGCAAAGTTTTTGCTTAAACAATAACGTTTCAAATTTCTAAGGATTCTTCTGGAGGCCGTCACCTTGGCATCAATATGACGACGGCTAAGACACTAAACCAACCCTGAAAAAAACATTAATATGCAACAAAAGCTTTCGTGGTGTCCTTGAGCATGTCATACTCAAGGTTGAAGCACACTCGATTTTACATGTGACTGTTAATGTATACATAAATACTTACATAACCTGATTCTTGACTTTTAAATGCTGTCTACCTAAAAGGATGATGTACGAGGGCTTGTCATCAAATGGTTAAGTGTTTTTTATGTCCTGTTTATTCCTCTTTTTGTTCATTTTAAACTGTCATCAAAGTTTGAAATGGTAAAAGGTATGCCAATGGACTGAAGGGTATTGCCATGTAGGTAAAAAATACGATATGACTGCCATAATTTAAACGGTTTAAACTGTAAGAGAACATCATACAGCAGCCATGTGATTATTTCAAACTGTAACCTTTTAGCAGTTAATTGGTCAAATGACAATATTTACTGTTAAGCCAAAGGTCACAAGTAACTATTTACTTAATAGACGCAAATGTCGTCATGACGTCATTCCGTTTTTATATGTACATTTCATGCAATAATTCCTTATTGGGTAAGATAAAAGGTTTAGATTTATATATAACAATTAACGAAACAAATATTTTTTTCCGCCAGTACTTTTATCTCAGAGGTCAACTTCTGGAAATCTAAGAGAATATCAAAATCTTAAAGAATGCTTGACTTTGATGAACTTTTAAAGTAAAAAAGACCATATGTGTGAAATATTGAAATAACTTTTACCGGATAATCAATAATATCAGGGCTACGTTATTTGGCATGAATTCTGCATGAGGGGCTTTACAATTAGAATAAATGAATGACCTACGGAGAAACGGAGTATCCTACTACAGCCTGAAGCACCTTGGAGTAGCAAATCTGAAATTTGTATTAATGTTGGATGCCCCTGTCCTTGCAACTTGTTTTAACCTAAAGTGCTATCCTCCATGCATCAACAATTTTTCTAGGTTTGCTCTACTGAATGCATTTTGTGAATGCTGTTTGGAAAATAGCCGATGGTGAGCTTCTATCACCATTCCATTGGCACTTTAATAACATCTAAATACTTAAGGATATTTTCAATTTCTGTGTCTATAATGAGAAAAGATCTTATAAACTGCTTGGTACAACGGTAACTAAAAATAAAAATGTATTTCGCAAATTTACATATTCCTGACGCTGACTCCAACCTCATCTTTCAAGTTTACTGCCATTTTTAACATTTTGATACTGAAGATTAAAACAAATCGCATAAGATCGATCTCGGATACTACATGTAGTTTATCGATTATACTTGCTTTGTTAATTAATCCATAAGATTACATGTTGATGCTGATTACGTTGGCAGAAGGTGTGATATTTTAGCAGTTTGCATAATGACATCTTATTCAATAGGTTAAAACGTTTTGCCATATTACACATTAGACTGCGAGTGTTGGATCAGATGATAACGTGTTCGTATTGTTTTCATAGATTATTCTCCATTGGTATTGTTCGACAAGGTTAGAATAAACAAATCTTTAGCTATTCTGATACAATTGCCCGGAAGATTGTGTGTTCGATTCTTGTACTGGTTTTACATATATCTATATACATTCGAATACTCTTTTAGCTACGTCTGGTTCCTAATTCAGATTAAGGAAAAACGTGACATGGGTGCTCATATGATAACAGGAGGTTGCTTATAACGTATTTCTTAAACAGATCTGATGTTTGATACAAGTTCCAATGTTGGTGGTATTTAAGTTTATTATGTTATATTTATTATATATACATGTTTATTATTATACCCAATACAACTCTTCTCCTTCACGTTCTCCAAACATATATATTCATATCTTTATGGTTTCAAGCTGGATGGGACATTCAAAATCCATATTAGCATACAATATATTGTCGTTTAATGGTAATCAATCTATCCCTATCATAAAGCTGCAGATGTGACCTTTTTATATGGTGTTTCATTGGACTTTGCGTACAGTTTAATGATTGGAGCAGGACAGCAGTCGTTTCTTTGGGGATTTAGGAGCCTTGAACAAACACCAGGTATATGTACCTGAATATTTTACAAGGATATTATCACACAGATTGAAGACAGTCCGACACTAATTAACAACGTGAGGGAAATAGTTGGCCATTTAATTTCTAGTGTTTATTGTCCAAATAAAGGATTAGATTATGCTTTTCTTTCTAAAACGTTGACTCGCATTAATTTTTGTTTTCAAAATTTTGTATATGCATATATTTCAGATTTGCTCAGGGAGCAGTGATAGGGCATTTTGTCGCAATGTCCTTACTTTGGATCACTCGTGATCTCGGCGGAGTTGGTGGATGGAAAAACGTGTTCCCTGAAAAGTACTATCACTAGCATATATATAATATATATATATAATCTGATGATTAAAAAAGAAATGAAATAATCTATGACATAATATGTATTTTCAAAATGTTTCAAATACAACAACTGGTGTATGCAGTTAATTTTAGTTTATTGAACGATACCTTTTGGTTTCATAGGACTGTGACGGACTCTACGCCATGTATTTTGGTTGCCTGCAGTCTCTTCTTCTTTCCGGCCAATCTGCCGGAAATATTGCGCTGTGGATTGAGTATTTATCAGGAGATTAACACATTGATCAATAAGATTTAAAATTATATTTGAATAATGTACAGGAACATTTCATTCATCATGTTATTTATGACACGACTCTAAAATTAATCTTTTTGCAAAGTATGTGAAGGGAAAATAGCCACAGTTTTGATATTTTTTAAAAAAAATTTATAATTATATTAGGTAATGGTACATATACAAAAGGAAAAATACTAATGATGATAATACAAATGAAAATGTGCTTTTATAGAGGCAATTAATTGCAATTGCAGACAGAACAGTGACAGCCAAACCTCTTATAACCTGGAAACAGGCCGAGAGGAATATATCATGGGGAATTATTTGGTTATTCGGTGGCGGGTTTGCATTAGCCAAAGGAAGTCAGGTATGATGGGACATTCTCAGGTGAAATTTGATAAAGGAGATATAAAATAAGACGAAAAATGTATAATGTTTATATCACATTACGTGATAGCCATAACTTACTTGTTCCATTACATTTAAATATCAGTCGTCTGTATGAAAAACACCAACAGTTGTCTGTTACCTACGTTAGGATAAGACTCTTTGTCCTAAAGATGTAAATGCTCTTATACCGGATAACAGTTGATTGACTATTAAGAATTTCATCAATATATATATATTAATATCCAATATTTGCACAGAAAATTATCTTCTTTGGTTTGGTTCGGGTTTTTCTCTTAAATCTTGTTCTTTGGAACACACGAGACGTACACACACTTTTACTAACTTAAATTTGTAACCATTGCTTATATGTATTAAGAGTGAAGTGGCCGAACAGCTAACTATTCGGACATGTAAAGAAAGTCCCGACAAAATCCTCAAGTGTTCAAATTACATACGACAGAATTGGTTAAATGGCAGGAAACTGGATTGTCAGATTGGATAAGTCAAAAACTGTCGGTCTTCGGTGGACTGGAGATATGGTTACTGAACATCGTCCTATGTTACATCGTCGCAGCGTTCACAGAGGTGACTAGCAATAGTGCAACTGCCACTCTCATGCTACCAATAGTGGCACGACTGGTGAGTCGCTCGGCAATAATTCTGTACAAGAAACTTTTAAAGAGTCTTACAGCATCCGTATGGCCTGAAACATGTTAATTGCTTTCTAAGATCTGTTTTTAAACTAAACCCAAAAATAATGTTAAGATTATCATATAAAGATTTAAAATTCTGACAATGCCCTGCTTTGTTGAAAAATAATATTTGTTGGAAACAAATATAAAATGTGACCTCGTCGTTGAAGGTATTATAATTCAACCCGAAAAAACAGGTTTTGTCACGTCTTTCACACTGCTGTGATCAATGTCAATAAAGGCTAACAGGCATATTCGCGTTAACTATTATATGGACGAGTTTAAAGAAAGGCGCTAGTGGTAAGATGTTAAGGTTAATTTGAAGAAAAAGAAAAGAAACATCCTTTTTGTCATCCTGTTATTGCTATGTAATGTCTTCACTGGGTCAAAACAAACAGTTCTTTCTCTAACAATTGTAAAGGCAGTGTTTATATTGAGGTTTCATTGTAGGTGATGCGAATGTTCAATTATATCGTTGAATAGCAATCAACAAACAAAGGTGAATAGACATATCTTAACATACTAAACTGTGCATTGCGTTGTCAAGACGGAATCATCTTAAACAATAGTTAACATAGAAAAGAGGTTTAAGGTCTCTGATCCAGATGACGCGCTATATTGGTTTCAGTATATATGATTTAGTGTCTGGTCGGAACCGGAGTTATAACTTATGATGAGAGGTCATCATCTACCAGATTTAAATGTTGTGTTGACAGAGAAACAGTTTATAGAACTTTATCATTAAGACCTCTAGATAACAGTAAGTGGTGTATTGTTAGTATATATTGTGTCTGGTTGTTCGTTTGGTGTTTACCTAATACTCCATGGGGAATATGACATTACTCACGTGAATTTACGAAGATTTACACGACAGGAGTGGTCGATAAAGCAGCAGGCGAACACCCTTTTGGAACACCTGATCGTGATCGCCTTGTACTTTCTCAGTTGTCTCCGTGTTAACCTTTTTTCATATTTTGCTAGGTTCTATCGGATTTGATTTAGAATAATAATTATGTTACAGAGCTAGAATTGTCTTTATTGGTCATGATGAAAAAACCTCAAAATGGTATGCAATAGTTTTATCATTCACCACACATCTCTATGAAAAAAGAAAAAACACGAATGAGTCATTTTACCGAGGGTTAGTCTAATTAAAATTAACAGCTTTTTGTCAATGTCGTGTGAAGTACCACATCATTTTTGCATGCGAACAATTTGGCCAATTGGTGTCAAAACCAGAATATGATGTTTTAGTTTTATTTTTTCGCATAAGAATTATGAAACAAGTACCTTGTGTAACTATTTCTAAGTCAAAATCATTAAAATAAATACTCGTTCAATATTCACAATACAATCGTATAGCGAAAATGTCGAAAAGAGGCACTACTAAAACATATCTTAACCAGATTCCTGAACGTGTTATTATCTGATGCCGTTTTAATGAAGGATTAACATATGCAATACCGAATAATTATCCTATTCGTTAATATATTACGCGGACATTGCATTCTATTACTGTGACAGGGTTTGAAGCTGGAAGTGAATCCACTTTACTTGGTGCTCCCTGTAACTATAGCAGCTTCTATATCATTTATGCTACCAGTGGCGACACCACCAAATGCTGTTGTGTTTTCTTATGGATATGTCAAAGTTATCGATATGGTACGTATTTTACTGATTTTTATCTCTGTTCTTGATATGTGCAATATTGTGTTTTGATTTCATGAAGCAAATATGGTAAGGGTTTATAATTTCAACGTTTAAAATTTTCAAGGCTACATCGAAAGATTGACAGAAATAAAAAAGAAAACGGGGTAAAAAGAAGTTGTTCTCAACCGACGATGTGTAACTTGATTAAAAGAATTATTGGAAAGTTTACGTGTCGTCATAGAGCTCTCTTTAAGAAATAGTCCATTTCATTTTATTTATCTTATTTTCAACATATATTAGATTTTGTTCAATCCTTGATAAAAAAAGAAAATAAGAAACTCCTAAAACTTAGCAACTTTTACAGAATGAATGATGCAAACTGGTATAAATGGTATATGTATGGATATTTTGTGTTGTTCGTATTAAGAAATATAGATAAGCGATGAATATAAATAGTTTACCATTACAGTGTACAAAACTGCATGACATGATATGAATTAGTATGAAAAATAACACAAAGATTACTTTCGTTATTTTCAGATAAAAACTGGACTCCTTATGAACATTGTTCCTATTCCCATAGTTGTGTTCTTGACGGAGTATCTTGGAAATAGCATATTTGATCTGAAGACCTTTCCAATGGGATTCAAAAATTCAACAGCTCTGATATAGTCTTTTTACCTCTTACTGAGCAAGCATATTTGAAATAGCAAAACTTTGAACATTTTGTTGATCACTGTTCTATTGTCAAAAAAAGAGCATTGTCTTGCTGAATCAATCAAATGTATATATGTTATGATTCATAATAGCTCTTGAGGATGTAAACGAACTTATTCCATTAAATAGTATATACGTTAGCAGTTCAAGTAAATATAAGCATACATGTATATATAGGTTTTGTTTTTATATTGTTTTACATGGTAAGCACAAAATTATAACTGCATCAACATTTTATTCGTGGAAAAAAGGATAATGTAATTGCAAATAATGCAAGATAGCTAATCCATAGTTTGATAGAAAGAGAGTAAGTTGTAACGTTAATTTCAATGCAAACGATCTGAAATGTGCGTGACAAATAAAAATAACTTCTTCTCCATGTTACACGACCTGCTGATCTATGTGAATATCCAGTAACGCCTTGTTCTCCAAAAATGTTTTGCAGTATGTATATGTGATTGGTTGAAGTCATATCGGCATAACCATTAAACAGAATCTGTTATAATCCGAATGTGTTTAATGTTATTGCACGTAGCAATAGAAAAAAAGGATGACCAAAAATATTTGATATGAACATTTAATATGTCTTAGTCTTCTTTTCGCATTGACATAAAACTACTGCAAAAACATTAAGGATATGAGCTCTTAATACACATAATTTATGTAGTTACGGATGCGACTATTACTAGTGAAAGTAAGATTGACAATACGTAGTGTTATCTAGAAATACATCAACCTGTCACTCCGTACATTGTTTACAGTACTCTCTATTGGCCCATACCTTACCTCTAACACGGATATATGCAGATAGGTCATACGAAACACGTATATCTACGTACGGATAACAGCCTGGCTGTACTTGGTAGTGTCTGCTCGGACATACACATGTTATATAACCCAAGTTCAATCAGAAGAATCTAATTTTAAAATACATTGGCATCAAGATGGATTACACGTTCAGGGAGTTTTTGCGTGACGTTTTAGCAATAAGGAAAATCCTTATTGTTATTTTTACACCAATTGTGCTTCTGGCGATACCTCTAAGTGTACAATCAAAGGTATGTACTTCATCTTTATTATTATGTATTATTATGAAATATATCAATAATACAATAAACATAAAATTATTATGGGTCAAATCATAGTTTTCTTTAATTATAAACGATACAAATAATTTAGATTTTCAAGTCGGTTGTTTGCTAATAAGAGATATGTTAAACGACAAAAGATAAAATGTATTACTGTTCATGTTATCTGAATAGATATACCTAAAACAATACGCCTAGAACAACACTATAACGCACTCCCTCAACTTTAATGAAAACGTAGTTTTGTTTGATTGATGACAGTTAGCCTACACACACACTTGTAAAACAGACGTATACGCGGCGCGACCCCTAATCTCTGTTAGCGGTAACTTCCTCGATACATTCTTGTCCTTGTTAACATCTTTATGTTTTTCATATAACCGTTACTGTTTTCTTTGTGTGCAAGAATACCTTTGCTTATTACCTGGACACGAGAATCACACTCTATCATGATTTATCTTATCAGTGTGCACATGGTCATAGAATTGACATACCTTTTATCAGTGGAACATTTAAAAAAATCAAATACAAAAGGCAAAACATGTTTGATAATACGTCCATCAAAGATATTTCTTCTATTTCATTCTGGTCTTTATTAAGAAACACAAAATGCCAAAAAACGCCAAACACTTGAGTTATGTACAATTTAGGTAAAGTATAGGTAATGAGGACTCGTATGATTATAATACATTTACAGATTTTTATGGTAAGCTGAAATAGTTCCATGTCTTCAAAAACAATAATTTTAATGTAAAAAGATAAGCAAGCTACACTGTATGACTCTTAAAGCAGTCTACATATTTCGTAAAAAATCCGTATCCTGCGTTATGTCGTTTTGGCTCACTTAAGGAAAGTTGACTTTGAAAGTCTTGTAACACCCAGACCATGCACTGATCTACTGTTTGGATCTATCCGACGATTCATATTTTTCGCCTTTCCTATACATAAAAGTAAATATTTTTTAAATGTCATTGCCACATTTTGGTATTACACTTCTTAAGTTCTATGTTACAGTTTGATTTTCACTCAGTTATTTTATCACTACTCGATATGTATAAGATACCACGAGCATTCATACTCCTAATTACAAGTAATGATGACATCTTTGCAGTATTCAAAAGAATCGCCAATGGATCTAATTATAAAAGCAAGCATGGGATGGAAAACGCTTTGAAATCTACACATTACATGTATTCATTTCTGAAAACAAATTTGTAAATCACAGAACCTTAAAGATGTATCAGAAATAACTGTTGGGCTAGAAACATATCTACAATAAAATAAGAAAACATTCATAAACCTCTCCTTGAAAATCTCCGAAACAACATACTTTGTTTATTTACAAGGAGTTTCTGTTTGTTACTTGTTTTCTTTATTTGTTTATTGTTTTTAATGCAGGCTCAATCTGAATATTTGCATAATTTATTCACCTCCAATTGAATTCGTGATACTACGTCAATATTAGATATCCACTTCACCGGGACTATATAGACATCTTATCACAGGATTGCTGTTTGTCAGAGACAACATGCTCACCACCTTATTTGCAATTTTCAGTAATTATAAAAAAACTGTAAAAAAATATAATACAAACAGAATATGTCGGAAGACTTTTCATTGAATATAATTATAAGGATTTTGTAATAATAGGATACTAATAGTAAAAGTGACAGCCACTTGAAACTGTCCACACTTGTGTACCTTGTGTACACTACAACGTATACATTTAGATATCATTTTTAATGATCATGATCGTTGCCAATCCTCACGTTTAAGTGCTCATGTAAACATTCAGATAGTGATATTCATAATACTACATCTATAATTCATGGGAGTGTGGGGTTTTAAACTAGTGTCGGGAGGTCGCACAGGTAAAGGTATTGCTTTCACGATGAACATCATCTGGTGTCCTAATTAACATCAGGCACGTCAACATCAATTAGTATGAAAACCGATAAATCATGACCGGTATGTGAAAATGAAACTAAACGTCGTTTACTGGTAATGGATATGAATGCGGATGTTTTCCCCTGATTTCATTCAAAACTAAACGTTATTGTTTCTAATATGGCATTGTAAAGATTACTTCTCTAATATTATAAATACTTCTTAAACTCCAAACATTTCAACGCTACTGCCTTGTATAAATGGATATCAAAATGTTGAAATTGGTAAATATTGGTACATTTGTCAAATCATAGAAACATGCTGTGTTTTACAAAATGCTTGACGACGAAATGAAATTTGTTCATCATACGGATTCTGTCATCGCAATTATGTTTTCTGAATAATACAATTCTTTATCACCTTTGATTCTATTAAGACAAATTTGTAATATTTTTGTTTGTTACACGTGGTAATATAACCTATTTTGACAATTTTGCATTGTGAAATAATAATAGAGACAATAGATATATTGCAAACTTTACTTCAGGTTTGTAATATAAGTTATAATGGTCTACAAATTTTGCCTTGAAAGACTTATTAACGGGAAGCTTTGCAGAATCTGGAATGTAATATAATAATGAATTTGTTTATAAGGATATATCTGATGAACCCTTTCCATATAAAAAACAATTGCTATGAAAAATTAAAACATGCTTCTAAACAGGGCATATTATCATAAATGACATACATTTAAGCTATCTTAATATTAATGTGTAGCTACATCAGAATAAGATTGAAATGAATACTCTATTTTGCAATCACACATCTTAATCAAAATGTAAGAAAGGTAGACTCTCTTCTATTCATTTCCGATCCAATATTTTTTTTCAATGCTAATGTATCATTTTCATAATAATAAAAAAAGTAAAAATATCAAATCGAAAGCGTTCTTTTAAGCCCATAGTTTAGAAACTAAAGACAGTTACTTGACTGAGTAACCTTCCTTGTCATATATATTGCCCTTTTAATGGTAAGGAATATGGCATTCTCACCAATACTCATACTGTACAGGTTAAACTTTTTTAGGAGGTATTATTTCGAGATCAATTGTGAAAAAAAAATCTTTAAAACAGACTTTGAATTATATTGAAAACGCACAATGAAATGCAATCTGGATAAATACATATTTACAGGAAGCAGACTGTGCCTATGTTGTCATCATCATGGCTGTGTATTGGGTGTCGGAGTCATTGCCCATAGCTGTGACAGCACTGTTGCCCATTATTTTATTCCCTATGGTTGGAATGATGTCTGCGAAAGATGTTTCAGCAAAGTTTGTCAACGTAAGATTTGATGATGGTCTTCGTAATTTATGATATTTTGTCAAAGACGAAAATTGTTTAAATAACGTTGCTTGGAATATTTTGGACTCAGGACAAAAACATTAATGTTATATACAAATAGTTAAAAGAAGTATTATTATGTTTATATCAAGCCCAGAGTTACATTTTCTTATACAATACAGCCATTCAAATATTAGGTTTTATAAGAAAATATGAAGTAATATTGCCTTAATATGACCATATATTCCGTTATCAAGGACACGACGATGCTATTCATTGGAGGACTCGTTATAGCTTCAGCAATCGAGCGTTGGAACATCCACAAACGAATAGCTCTCAGGATTCTATTGATAGTCGGTTCTGAGCCTCATTGGTACGATATACTATACATGATTGGCAAATTCTACTTGTTACTTATAGTTTTGCTCTTCTTTTTTAATGTTCTTTGTCATTTCTATTATATAAAAGAACATTCATGCTTGCAAATAACCAGAATATGTTTAAGAAACTGTGCATTGTAGTGTATGAATATTTGTCAAGCTAGAAAAAGTGACGAGGTACTTTAGTTATAGTCATGGACAGAAATTCTAAACAAATGCAAATAACTAAACAACCAAGTAACCATAGCTCTTTGGAACGGTAACGAATTACGAACGATGTTATTCTGCTTCTTCATATAAAGTAATTATTTTTTAAATCCTATCTTTAAGGCTGATGCTAGGTATGATGCTTCCCACATGGTTCTTGTCCATGTGGATAAGTAATACCGCCACAACCGCCATGATGATCCCAATAGCTAACGCAGTAATGGTCCAGCTTAAGGATGCTAGGGAACTCAAGGAGAAGACTGAACATCCCGAACTTGATGGTAATAATAGAGTTGATATTGTGTTTTATGTAGTTGTGTCTTTTATCTGCACAAAGACTGGCAGGAAAAACATTCAGGACGATATCAAGAGACCAATATCTTACTATTTGTAGAGAACAGATACCAAAAAATAGGAGGTGAATCAAATTTACTTGAAATTGATATCAGGTGTAGGATCACTAAGTGATACGTTGGCGAAAGAGAGTAAATTTGCTCACATGTAATCAGGTACGGATATGTGAACAACTGCCTTAATGTATATCCGTGATGGTGTGTGATGTTGTTTCATCACTTGGGTCTCTCTAATACGTCTTACTCCAAACTATTCTATGTGGTACTAAGTGAAAATGGGACATTTTTCCTTCCATAGTGTGTCAGTCCCATAACATTTGACTGTCTACATTTGACTGTAAGACGCATTGAAACCCAGTCGAATACAATAAATTTACATCTCTTATTTGTTCTATCTTCTGATGTTGTATTTCGATTATTGTTTTCCTCCATTACTTCCTATTTTTAAACACTAACATTGTAGGACAGTTCTCAACGGATGAGCTTTTTTTATCTCATCATTTAGCTCTACAACATCTCACTCCAAATTGTCAGTATACTTGTGTTTTTTTTGCACAGTGCTTTCTAAAATAGACAACCTTATAACCTTAGATGTGCCCGTTTCAAAAGATGAAACATTTTCAATGATGCAATATGCTAGTCTTATAACCCTTTCAATGATATACTCTTGTCCCAGAATGAAACAAATAATGGACTACATTTAAATATACTTACTAGTCGAAGTGAAAACAATCATTATTCGATCTGTGTGACATAAACGTAACTTATTGTGTCCTGAAACTGGATCAGCTATATATATATGACCTTGATCCTAAACGGCCGACACTGCGTTACCTAACTAGACTAACTTTAATATCAATTTCTTATGTGATGGGCAATTAGGTGTGTTCGGCGCTGGTTGTATGGCTATGTATGTAGATTTTCATAGTCGTTACCCTGGTTCTCGTTTTGAGACGTGCTATTACTTGCATTGGTCAAGATTAACATTTTAACAAGAGTGTATCTTAATCTCTACTTTTTGAGTTGGAATTCCGATTTTGCGTAATCTTTGACATTATTTAGATGCTTTTGGATACGTTAAAATGCAAGTTTGTTACTATCCATTTTTCAGATCCGAACAAAACCAATTTTTCAGGATCTTATGTCCAGTCTTTATTTACATCCCTTGGACATCTGCCGTTTGCTCGATTCTCTTTAAAAGTCTGTGTTTTTCCTTTGATTATTTTTGTACGTGCGTCCGTTTACTTAAGGTTTTGACAACAAGGCCCTCGAATTGGAAAGTATAACAGTAACAGAAAAACGGGAGGAGAATAATCTAAAGGAAATGGATAATTCAAACGCAAAGAGGTATGTGTTACATGAGGGTATAAAAACATAGAATCTCAAATCTTTAAAAAGTTTTCATTACATTTCTTTTCGAACGAGTCTTCGATGTTTTTAGTTTGCAAGGAACGAGGTTCATATAGTACCATATTACCTAAAAGCTTTATCACATAATCAAGAAACATAACAATGTGACATGTTTTAGAGTCAAGCTGTGCATTAAACGGAGTCATTTTATTGTCATTTTAAATTCGTGACTTAACGTCATTGTACATAAAATATCATCACAATCAATTTCTGACTGGCGCAGTCAGTGAAAAAAGGCACATTACAATGGTGACATGCTAATTCATCCCATGGGCTCAGTTCGATATTACAATGCGAGTATGGTTTTCATATTCTGTGTAAATGAATGTTTGTAAAAAAATTATTTATTTAACTATTTTCATTTTCATTTTTTGAATTTCATTTTATTTATCTATATCTTTTCCAATATTTTGTATCTTTATTTTTTTCGTTTCCTTATTACAAGAATCAAAACGATATTTAATATAACTCTTATTCCAAATTGTATCAATGATACATTGAATAATTAATAAACTATAAAGAAATTACAAAATGTACTTGGTTGTGATATTCTCAGAAACATAAAATGTATCAAAATTTATATTATGAATGGTCAAAATACCTTTACTTTCAGTCCAAATGCTAATAGCGATGATGAAGACGGTTCCGAGGCCGAGCATTTACGGATGTGTAAAGCGTTGTCGCTAGCTATTGCGTACTCAGCCAATGTGGGGGGTATTGGTAGTTTAACAGGAACTAGCCCGAATCTCGTCATGAAAGGACAGAGTGATATGTCAGTATATTAAATAATCTTTCCAGTCTTTTCACCATAGATTCCTAGCGATGAAAAAATACCTGAATTAAAGATATGTTTATTATCATGAATTATGCTAATTCATGTCTATAAGAGACATCGGTGAAATACACATAAATATATATAAAAAATCTTTAAAGATTTAATTTTGTTGGTTCCCGGTACCATATCCCTTCTAGTGTTTCAGTTTAAAATAACATTTTGCCACCTTTTAGTGTATTTCAGAAGTATGGTGCTGAATCACCCGTCACCTTTGCCACTTGGATGCAGTTCGGGCTACCGCTATCAGCTGTTTGTCTCGTCATTCTCTGGGTGTGGCTACAAATTTATTTCCTGCGGTGTAAGTAAGTAAACGCCAATAATGTTTGTTAATACTCTGAGTGTAAGATTACACGATTTAGATACTGTATGAAAATTAATATTAAAATACAACAAAGGTAAAAAAAAACCCGTGCTTATCACTAAGGAACACATCTTAAAATGTTATAAGTATCATTTTATCTTTATGGTTTGTAAATATCCACAGAGTCCGAATTTTTCTGCAAGAAGAACATTTCATATAATGCATAAAATCGAATTTCATTGAAACAGCCATTCAAGATTAAATTAGTCGCACAGGAATCCACGACATTTCATACGCTAAGATATTCTGCTCTGCTCAATGCTCATCATACCATGGATGGTTCGTTTCCTTTAATGCATAAATGAACCTTATTCGGTCTCTTGTCAAATCCAAATGGTTTGTGTTTCGCATGGATCGTTTGGCTTTTAGTTGCTAAAAACAGATGATATTTGGCGATGATGTTGATCACTAAATCACTATGAACTCTCCTCTGATATTACATGTTATAACTGTCTAGTCCTAAATACATTTCTTTATGCAGTCAAACTACTCATATTAGAGCCAGTTAATTTGACGATCTAATTTTAACTCAAACGTTTCATCGACTAAATTTCTGCTTTATCTAATCAAAAAGTCAGTTGCCCGAACTCAGTAAATTCAAAAAAGGAGAGGAGACACATAGGTCCCTATTTCATAAATTCACATAGTGATTTATTTATAGTTTACTTTTTGGGGGCAATGGATTTATTAAAAGAAGACCGACCGGATATTTATGTTCGTGTTCTGAAAAACAAGATCATTTGTAGCAACATTTCTTCGTAGAATGAACTTATAGCTAGTGTGCCCAAATAACATTATGTTGTTTGCGTTGAGAGTATAAACATGAATATGTCCAACACTTGTGTGAATGCTATAACAGTTCCACCTTGTGTATACTTTCATAGATTTAATAAGAGCAAGGTGAAAAAATCGAAATGTTAAGAGACTAAATGATGCTATCATCGATAGAACAGTAAATTCTTCCTTCTCCCCAACACCGTGTTCATAGTTTCCACATTTCCACATTTTGTAATTTATTCACGTGTCGTTGTTGTCTTTAGAATCGGTCTTCCTTAAACTCTCTACCTTTTATGACGTCATTCACCATATGATCTAATTGTTATAATGAGTCATTGATGTCTTTAACAAATAGAAAATATCTCATGGTTTTAGGAATGTATCATTTTTCGGGTATCTTTTAAAAATATTTGTGATGTCGTTCATCATATGACATTTGAAAGAACTATTAATATATGTCTTTAAAAAATTGTGACATCATTCATTATATGATGTAATAATATTTCATTCATGTCTTATAAGCACATGGAAATTTTCTCATGATCTTTTATTATGTCAACGTTATCCTCTCATATATATTTCCCGACATATTTTGTTGATTCGTAAATCCATGCTGATGTAGAGATGTTCATGGCATATAATAGAAATATAAACATAAGACGACACTGATCCCTTCTAAGAAGATATACATGTACATTAATTAGGGCCCCGCATCGGAGATGCGGATGCTCTATAGTAATCAGGTTGTCCGTCTGTCCGTCTGTCTGTCCATTTTTTTTTTTTTTTTTTTTGCTTCTGGCATTTCTCACAGACAACTGCACGTATCTTTATGAAACTGGATGTACATACATATCTTCACATTACGGAGTGTCACATACTCATTTCGAGTTTCTACAGCGAAAATTTGCAGAGTTATGGCCCTTTGTTACCAAAACTTGTGCGGCCTATAACTTCCATATTGTTTGAACGACATTGACCAAACTTGCTATATGTATATATCTTGGGAATGCAGAGTATCACAAACCAATTTCAAGTTTCAACGACAAATATATGCAGAGTTATTGCCCGTTGTCACTAAAACTTGTTTCTTCTAAGTTCTGTGCACAACATCGCAAGGTTGTCGAGGGAAATGTAAAAATGCTTCCCACTTGACTCTGACAGCTTACAAGGATTGTAACACTCAACTGAAGCTGACTATTAGGGTCAAACACAAAGCGGGTCCCTTTCTGACTTGTCAGTGTGCTAGTTGTTTCTTCATATATAAAAATAAATGTCATTTTTAGCCTGAAAATATCATATATTTCGTATCGAATAATGTTCTTTTTATACTTCCTTCCTGTATATATTGGAAATTATACTTATATACTGTAAAATTAATTTTTTTCGTATAAAAATCTAATATTTCGTTGACATTTGACTTTTTTGATAAATAAAGCGCAATCCACTTGCTATTTTAATTTTACCATTTTGTAAAGATATCAGTTAAGAAGATTAATGGTTTCACAACAGTATTTCTAACCTCTCCTGTTGTAGATCGTGTTTCAGCTGTTGTCACAAACAGGACAAGTCTACATCGAGGCAAGTGAGAGAGGTGTTACAAAAGGAGTATGCCGAACTGGGTCCTATAACGTTAGTATCAAAGACACTTCATTATTATTACATTTAACAAAACAAAATTTTGCATTGTTTCTAAAATTGTAAACTATAATTCGTTTAACTAAGGTTTGCCTTTTTCCTAAACAACAAGATGTAGATATTCTGCTCAAAACTCTTCTATTCATATGTAACGTTTAATTACTGTATTTGATGTTTTCAGATTCGCACAAGCGGCGGTGATTGTTCATTTTTTCTTACTAGTCATTTTGTGGATATCACGTGATCTTGGTGGAATCGGGGGATGGGGAGACCTTTTCCCAGAGAAGTATGTGAAACATAATAAAATAAATAATAATTTTCATAAACTCTATTCCTTGGAAACGGAAAAATTGTTTTCAGAAAATAAGTTGTCATTTGTTCAAGTTTTACAGAGTACATATGTGTTTCCATTTCACAATAATTTCTCGTGTGTTATGACGCTATCCCTATGAACGGTATATATTCGGTTATGTTAAATGTATATTATATATCCTTGTATAGAAAATATACAGACAATTCACTAATGCCAATTTGATTTCGAAGCTTGCCCTGATTAATTTCATTTTAGTCTAAAACAAAACTCACACACAAATATCCATCCTTATTTTATTAACCCATCCCTTTATATACATCGAAAGAATTCATTTTTATATTATTATATTATATTAAGCGTGGGAATGACGTACATGTTATATTTCTAATAATACTTGTATCTATTTTGATAACAAAGGCATGTTTCCTGTAAGTTTTTATAAACTTGTCACCTTGTGGTGACCACTGTCAATCCATACCAATCTTTTTTTTTTGTTTTCAGTATATGTAGTATATATAAAATATACACACGCTTTATGACATTGATATATTTGTTTTTATTTCACAACATTGGTGTACGCTGAACTTTTATACAATTTGTTTCAGAACCGTCACGGATTCGACTCCATCCATTTTGATATCAGTTAGTCTTTTCCTTTTTCCATCCGAGGTACCAAGCATTTTCAGACATGGAAAAGCAGAAGAACTTTCTGTAACTGACAATACAGGTCAGTAACTGCTTACCAGAAGACCAAACAACAGACATGTTTCTTGATAATTCGTTATTTCTAAAAAGTAATACTAAAAGATGATGTTCAATCTATGTTTACAACTATCAGAATTGTAATAAAGTACGTCCGCGCTAAGGTTCTTTTTGTGAAAAATGTATACATACAGTATATATGACATATATGTTTATCATACTGAAAAAACCACATTAGAATCAACAAACAGTAATATCACTTTAAAAACCGACCAAAGGCATAACCCTTGCAATCATATGAAGCTGTGTGATTCAGTCAGATTCTTTATCTGACTCATCTGTATCAAATTTTAAATTGTAATGAAGGATACATATACATAACAAGAGCTCTTATTCATACTTAGATATGTAACTAACATTTCATCAGAGACTAACGTATTATATATGATTATGGCTTCCCGTCTTTGAACATATCAACATGCTGGATATTACTGAATTCCAGTTGCCAAAAAGACGGTGACCCCGTTGATGTCATGGAGGACAGTAGAGAAAAGTATACCATGGGGAGTCATACTACTAATTGGTGGTGGATTTGCTCTCGCAGATGGAAGTCAGGTAAATCTGAAACTCCAAACGTATACCACGTGAAAGGGTAAACATGAGATATGTAAATATAGTGTGACATTGTTTACCTACAGTTAAGTACATAGATATCTGTCTAAGAAGCCGAAAGTTATCATTAAAGGCGAATTTACCTTGGGTCATAAATAGGATATACTGTACTAACCTCATTTCCATATCTTTATATCACTTGTAGAATGTATTCTTTGATTATGAAGGCACTTTCATGATTCATTGTTCATATAAAATATTGATCGATGGAAATGTATTTGATTACTATTAGGTGTCGGGGCTCTCCGCCTGGGTTGGTGACAAACTTACCGTGTTTAGTGACTTTGATCCCTGGGTCATGAACCTGATCCTCTGTTACATTGTGGCAGCAGCTACAGAAGTTACCAGCAATACTGCAATCTGCACACTAATGATGCCCATTATGGCCGAACTGGTAAATAAAGAAAAAGAAATGAATCCGCAGAATAATGATTTTATTATTAACCTTAATTTTGTTGGTCTGTTGAAGACATACAAATTTTAACTCCGTTCAGCATTAAATGCATTCTCATTTAGTCACAGCTGTAATGCTCTCACATAACAACATGAAATAACAACTTAAAAAAAATTAACGCTACATTGTAATAAGGCTACCAAACAGTTTCATATTTTTAAATTTTTCTCTGACGGGAACACTATTGTAAAATCTTTTACAATAAGACACCATTCAAATCGTTATGTAAATACCAAACACAGCAACATGTTTACTGCTATTTACATGCCATTACTAGAAAAGACGTAAGAGTTCTAAGTTGTTGGTGTTTCAGGCTATAAAGTTGGGAGTAAATCCGTTGTATTACATGTTTCCTACTGCCATCGCCACTTCCTTCGCCTTCATGTTACCTGTTGCCACGCCTCCTAATGCCGTCGTCTTCTCCTACGGCTATGTCAAGGTCATCGACATGGTGAGTTTGACATGTTGCCTGTTTCTAAAAGTATTTTAAAGTGAATACGGATATATCGAGTTAGTATTACCAGGCGTAAAAGTGTCTTAATCAGAATGTTCTGAAGTGTTTTGGTGAATACATCAATATCCGGAATGACAATCTGATTATGCCTTACGTATTGGAATAATTATGAAGAAGACAAAACTCAAATGCCAAAGGAAACGTTTGTCATACGCTTTCAACGTTGGAAATAAATGCTGAAAAAATGAATCTGTACCCAAATAAAACGCGATTTCTAAATAGATAGCAGTACACGCATGTCACACATCTTTTCCGTATAATCGGAAGTGTTGTTGCATATCAGACAACAATGTAAATATCAATCACTTAGATAAGAAATCTCAATCAATGAATTCATATGTATACATACATTGTTTCAAAATATTAGAATCCGGTGTATTTAGCCGTGACTTTAAAAAAATATTGAAAAAACGCAAAATCATTAAAATATCCTTTTTCACATTATGCTATTTCCTCTTCTAGGTTACGGCTGGTTTCCTAATGAACATTGTTGCAGTTTTGGTTCTTATTGGAGCAACAGAATCGTGGGGAGAAAGTATATTTCACTTCCATGCGGAGCCTGACTTTTTCAAAAACTCTACATTGACTGTTTTGAACACAACTGTGAATTCAACTCTAGAATGCCTTTGTCCCACAACGGTTCTCCCCATTACAACCACATAGAGTTGACCTTCTTCTTGTTCACTGGTTTCTGTGATAATATAAATGTAATATTCAAGAATATTGTTGTTCCATGTCCAAAAGAATTTCATCACGTTAAGGTAGTGAAGGTAGATTCTAAATTGCTCAAGAACGTTATACATCGGATCATCACTAAACCTGTTTAATGGTTAACAATATGCAAGAGTATCTCAGCACATATCATCAATTAGGGTTTTGATATGTACGTGCTAATCAATTTGACTTTGTAAGTAATTTTGCTTTTAGCTTCATATTGAACTTAATTTCTCAGTACATGAGCGATCATGACGAAACACGGAATATAACCTGTATATATCCAACGCGACGCACATTTTATTTCTGAATTTCTTTCAAAGTTTATTATTGATTTAACGTTAAACGGTTCCGTTTAGCTCAGTGTTAGGCTTTTATCTCTAGCAATAAATCCTGTTTATTTATGTATGATCGTCTCATGGCACATGTCAATTTCTGTTTCGAGGCTACAGTTTATTGTTAATTGGACTTTGTTGATTTATGGCACTATGTTAGAATTTTCTGTTTCTACTTAGATCAATTTTTCTCTGTATCATTACCGGATTATGGTTATTCTAAAATCTATGCATGGCCAGCTCAAGTCGTTATTTCAGGTTCTGATTTTCACCTACAGTTTTTACCATTTATTGAACTGTGTTAATCAATTGTGCCATGTTAAAGTTTCCAATGTAGTCTTGTGTTGAATTGACTTTCTCTTTTCGTACGTTTTTATTTCAAATCCTGATGATATGGAAAAACGTAGACATATAATAACTTTATTCCTTGTAAAATATTGATTTCTTTATGTGATATTGATTTTCCTAGAAAGTCCACATGATATGTTGTACAGAGATAACTCAAATCAATCTATCGATCTTCCAATTAATCTTTGAATTTGTTTAAAGTAAATCCGTCAAATATTCCTTTTTTGAGCGATATGAAGCTGGACGTTAGATGCTAGTTAATTTGCGTTTTGGTTCCGTTGTTGTATTTTGTCTGTTTGTTGTGTTTTCATTTGAGAACATAACATTACCTGCTGCGATTGGCAAAGATTTTAATTACGTGTTTCATCAATCAGGCAGAATACACCTATTCTAACGGAACATACGGTTTTATTATCCGTGTACGTTCCATGAGTAAATCTTACTTTTGCTAATATTTTTATCTAGTTTTATTGAATTTGGGTTATGGTTGTGTTCATGTGTTGGTATTTTCTTGCTGTTTTTAGTCCACAAACAAAGTTTAAAAAACCACAATTCAATGAAACATGTCCAGCATTTAAGCAATGAAAGCATATTAGTGTGTACCGATGCAAATTTGATATTTCATAATTAATATCTCTTTTTTGAGAAGCATTTGTGTCGTTAATGTCCATTTTCTTGTTTAGTATATTCTTTGTTCATTGTTCATCGTAGTGAAATTAATAAAAGAAATATCGAAAAGTAAGAGATATTTTTGCTGGGGGCAAGCAGCATAAAATCTGACGAGATTCAATATAAACTTTCAACAAACCTTTGTGGCTATAGCTTTGCTCTTTCTGGCTATTTTTATCATACTGAGATAATGAAGATCAAATTGGTAACATTTTGACATGTCTAAGAAAAACCGTTAACAGATTCATGGCATTTCCATCACATAAACCACCAGAAAAGGAGTGTAATCATCCTTGATACTCCATGGATTACGATCACTTTCGCTCATTTAATTTCTGGACCATGTCGTGGCACGTTACGTATTCGACACCATGTAGACAAAACGAAAAGACAAGGTTGGTACATTGATCTGGAGTATTTGTAATGTAATAAATGATAATTGACATTCACCGTGTAACCATTGATACGTTTTATCAATTGCATAATACGGTGAAGGTAAGCTGTCGTAATGTCTGGTCATCTTGACGAATAACTATGTCGATAATGTATAACGTATCTTAGTTTGCTACTAAAACCGTAGCTTCAATGAGAAATGTAGATATAAGCTGATTTCGTTAAAAGTTTTGTATCTTATATTGTGAACGCTTAAGGATTAATATTTTCAATTGATAGATAAAGCAATAGACAACATTGAGATTTTTGCGTTGATTTCTATGTCATTGATTGCTTCTCAATAGGGTGTGAGACATCGCCAATACAATTTAACATTCAGATTGTCCCTCACGATATGAAGCTATTTAAGACGCTGCATCCGTATCTGGATATGGTAACTGGCATAATAAGCCCGTTAACGGAGACGTTAGATAAACATATTCAAATATATTATACTTTCCCTGTATTATGTAACCATATGTAACCATGGAAAGTGTCATTGACAAGCGTCGTGTTTGCTAAATTAATCCTCTTTCCCGTCGGGTTGAGATCCGCATACCTTACCTCCATTTGGATGAATAAATAAAATATATAAAACATCATATACAAGAGAAAGGACATCTAATGTTGCTTTTATGACAACTGATTAGTGGTTGATAATTCCCTGTATCTACCTCAGGTCTATAATTGGTAATTAAGAAAATATATAAGATATGTTTTATTATTTGACGTAAATTCATAATTACATGATTAATCTTTCTCCTTTAGCTGTCATATTGTTGTTGTATGCATCATATACTCATTTTCGGCAAGAATGACGATGATCTGATAATATCATGTTAAAATTGAATAATATCATGATAATGATCTAACAATGACTGTTTAAATCTCAGGCGGATTTTTAAGATAAAAAAACATCACGCCGTACTATGATATATTGCAGTTTGTGCATATATCCTTATTCATAGTATAAATGAGTGTAGATATCCGGCTCTCAATGAACACCTTAGTAAACACACTTTACCTTATTTAGAAAGGTTTGTCATGACATAAAATGATTCGTTTTTCTTATCTCGTTCCCTGTTTTTTTTTATGGCAACGAGGTTATCGGAGCATATTTTATTTAACATACATAAAGCCTGTCGAGCACTAAGGACTGCAGAATTATCTGGTACACACTTGAGATAACTGTTATGTATGGATCATCTGTCTTGTAGCTAGTTCAGAAAACGTCACTCTCTGTAGGTAATCGTAGTCAAGTATGACCTACGTCGGGTTTGGTAACAGTGAGAACATGTACCAGAGAATATTGACTAAAAAACTTGAAATCATCACATCACAGGAATGCATCTCATTGATCATGTAACGATGCAGTAACATCTTATCATTTATCAATGAAGCACATGGATATTTTTTCAACTGTAAGCTCTGCTGATTAAAAAATGAAATGAAATGGCCAACTTAATATATTAAATTAGTATATCTTTTCGTCAATGTATAATGGCCGACAGTAAACCCGGTCGAGTCCAGTCGCTGATGTATGCATTACTAGCCAAATATTCACAAAACATACCCTTATAAGGACAACATAACATAGGAAGACAAAGTCATATCAGTATCATCTGACAAGGTAGGTGCTCGTGTATATATAATCACCTAACCACACTTGTGTAAAATCATGTTTGTTTAAGAAATAAAGACGTCAGCATATTACAACAGGATTGCTTTGTTAACCGCAACCATGTAGGCCGAGGCGAGCAGTGATATTATATATGGGAGTCATTTCAGCGTCTATAGATCACAAGAATCACTATTACAAATGTCTTGTTATTTTTTCTCGTCTAATATCATTAAACTGACTGACATTCATCTTTAAATCCAGAACTTTTCGATAAATCCAAATATGACTTACGCTAACAGATAAACATTTACTTGTAAATGTACTGACGACAAAATAAATAGCTTTATATGTTGCATCTTAACGTCATTTGATATAAGTGGAAAATCTACTTCCTTTAACATATCACAAATACATGTATTAACTTCGAATAAGGAGATAAAGAAAGATAGATCAGGTGGGCCAAAAAGCATTGCGCAATATTTTATACACTGATGTTCAAATTAAACGTGATACCTACCGGCAAGTCCATTGTCAGCATAATTCGACATGGGGCGTCCAGCTTCTGTGTTCATTTTATAGCATTCTGTGTAATGACAATGAAAACATGCCCTTGTAAGAATAGATTGAACATGATATCTATGTGTTTCGTCGTTGATATAATGTTTTCTTTTATTTAAGGTAAAACAGCTAAAAAGTCTTTCATAGTTTTCATTATTACGTAATTGTACATGAGGTTAATAAACTGGTAAGATTTTTTTCTCGCCAAAGGCTCGTTAAATGAGAAATGTCTAGATTTTGCTTACCACCTTTATTAAAGGATTCTAGATGATAGGCAAAAGTAGTTATCGTATCCATGGGTTAGGTGGTATATGTGTTTGCCTTTTTTTCTGAGATTTTCTTACTTATAGGTCACTGATTTTTAGTTAAATGTCAATATGTATGAAATCGTGTTAAATTGTGATACTTTACAACCTGTTTTATGTTATGTCATTTTCCTGAAATGTTTGAACCACCATGAAGCAATCTATTAAGCTAACAATGATCATGTGTTTAAACAACTGTGTCCGGTTATCTTTTTTGTTATCAGTACTTAGATGTGTGTCGCCATGTTTTACCACCACTCTGTCGTACTAAGAGACCTCACAATGACAAACTTTCATACCTTTTTAGCTCTGTATGTATAAGTTAACGTTGGCGTTTTCGTTCGGCATGTTACGTATATGTGTAGGTCTGCCTACGATTATCTATTACACAGAAATCTCTAAAATATACTAAAGAGTTCATAGCAGCATCTTATACTGGTCAGTGGTTTAGTCTTGTCTTACTTCATCATTCTGTCAACAGCCAGTGGCATTCTGGGACGGAGTCTACTTGTAGTAGCTGGCAGATGTTTCACATAAGTGCTGTTCATATGCTAACCACATTAATCAGTGATATGCGCTTTGCCCTGGGCAAAATCAAGACAAAACAGACTGGTCCATTACTCAGCTTCTTGAGATACATAAAGCGCCCTCATATATTATATTACATTATATTGTATTATA